AAAACGGTAACTTTTGTCGGAGCAGCATCGGCGACAGCGGTGGCTGCTCTTCTCAGAACAACTAGTGGGCCGTTTAAGTGATATCCATATAACATTGGTTTAAGGTTGAAAGTTATCCATATAACATTAGTCTTAGATTAATAAAAAAAAAAGTTTAAATATTTATGAAAGCCTTTCATGTTTCGTTTTAATGTGTGTAATTATGATTATAGTTCTTAAATTTATTGATTGTGTTTGTTTTTTGATTCTACATATACTTGTATCCCAAAAAGGACCAGATTAGAAAAATTGGTACTCCAAATCGTGAGTTAAGCCAATCAAATATTTACAATTAACAATTTCCAACCCAAAATTAAAAATAACTACAAGTTTAGTGGGTTTGAAAAAAAAATCCTTGAACAATAAAAGATCTGCATCAAACTCATTTTATTCGTTCATGGTTTTGCCAAAAAGAAAATGTGAAAAAGAATTCAACCTGTCTTCGATTAAAGTTTTAGGGCTTGTTGCTCTATATTTATTCTCTTGTTCTTCACTCGAGCTTCGACCCATATTTTGCTTGTCTCTCGAGAAAAAAAAGAAAAGAAAGGCAAGGAAAGGAAAGCGTTTCCTTTCTGCAGTTTGCTTCACTCTGTAAAGCTTAGTCACTTCCTATCTCGGCTGTCAAAGCTTGTTGGATTCTTTCCCTACAGCTAGAACTCGGGTATTTTCTCTTTCTCTCTCAAAGCCTATGATTTAAAAGTTGCAATTTTTTGCTTGTTTCTCGAGACAAAACTCTACTTTCATTCGTTTTTTCTTCTTATTTCATATATCGAGTGCTGATTTGAGATTGGTATTTTTAACTTCAGTGGGGTTTTCATAATTTTGAACTTTTAGTTGGAGGGTAAAGAGTTCTAGATTACTTATTGGCTTGGTTGTAAATGAAGGGAATGGTGCATATTAGGTGCAAAAAGTGAACTGGGTATTTTTGGCAGGATAAAAAGCTTCCTAGTTGAGGCTATGCATTCACTTGCTGCAGAGATTTGCTGAAAAATGTAGTAAGTTCTCTGCAAAGAACTGGTAGTCTTTGCTGTAGAAAAAAGTGTGTTTAGGCTCAGGTTCTTAATTACTATAGCAAAGATGGATTGCTAATTTTGATGTTGTTCTATTGACCTTTTTCTTCTTTTGCTCTCAGAACTTTTAGTTTTTAATTTTCTCTGATAATGTAAGGGAAAAGAACTATTGATTCTGTACTTGTTGAATGGGGTATAATCTCTATTATTATTGAATTATGAATGTGTCGAATATGAGTATTTGGCTGCCTTGTCAGCATGTTAAGACGATTAGTTAATTGAGTGTCAGAAGTCTTACATAATTTTAATGAAAAAAATGTATAATTGTATGAACTATGGAGTCCGAATAACAATGGTAGGAATAGTAGACAATTGAAAAAAATTGTTTATTGATTGTCATCAATTTATTTGTCTTCCGAGCAAACTATGATATATGTAGGAATCATGGTGCTTATTTAGTTTGGAACTGGTATTTAGCTTGATTTTCATTTTCCATAATAATCTCACTTTCATCTTTTATATCTGAATAAGTTGTGCTTGATTTTATGTTGTAGTTTTGTTTTGTTGCTTTGCATTACATTTGAATGAAGTTGGCTTAAGCTTAAACATGTCAATATTTTTTTCTCAGCGGTCTTGTGACTCTTCTTCTGATTTTGAGCAAGTTCATCCCTAGATAACTTGCACCACTTCATAAGCCTCTTAATTATCGTTCAGAATTATCTTTTTCCATTCTCTTTAAAAATCTACTGCTTAATTATTCCTTTGGTGAAAAAGGCTTAATTATTCCATCTCCATTTTCTTTTTGTCTCCGACAACAACATTCTTTGTTCTTATGTTTGGTCTTCTCAATTATATTTCTTTGGTTGCTGAGTAACTTTTCGGCTTCTTTCTCTCTTAGGGTAAAAAAATTAGGTGTTCTACTTCCCAATCAAAGCATCGATTGTTTATTGGTAATATTCCGAGAAGCTGGGGCGAGGAAGACCTGAGGAAGGTTGTGTCAAAGGTTGGGCCTGGAGTAACTGGTTTGGAATTAGTAAAGGTTAGTTTAATGTCCATGTGTATTTGTGTTGTCGTCCCTAGTAGTTCAGGTGATTGATACTTGTGACCTCTAGGGGCTGTTCAGTGGTAACATCGTCTTTTGTATTTGCTTTTTTGCCCGCAGGATATAAAGAACTCAAGTAATAACGGGGGATTTGCTTTTGTTGAGTACTATAATAATGCATGTGCTGAGTATTCAAGGCAGTAGACGATAAATTCAGGCTCAGTGATAATGCTCCTACTGTGAGCTGGGCTGATCCTAAGAACGCCGAGTCTTCTGCTGCTTCTCAGGTATCATTAAGTTGCTCCTTTGCATGCATGTCTCGTTCGAATTAATCTATTTCTTACGTTTTATCTGTTGGTTCTCCCAAAATGAGGAATTTTGGTGTGTTCCTTGCTGTAATTTGTATTCGTTAATTTAAACCTATTTTATGTAGGTAAAGGCGGTTTACGTAAAGAATTTGCGTAAGGACGTGACACAAGATCAGTTAACAAAGCTATTTGAACATCATGGAAAGATCACCAAAGTGGTTCTGCCTCCTGCAAAACTGGACAAGAGAGAAATAAAATTGGTTTTGTTTACTTTGCAGAGAGATCTAGTGCCATGAAAGCAATCAAGAACACAGAAAGATATGAATTGGATGGTGATTATTGAGTTTTTATCCATTTTACATTTTTGTTTAGTGGATGTAATTCCAAACGCTAATTGTCTTGTTTTCTTAGGCCAAGTTGTGGAATGTTCTCTTGCAAAGCCACAAGCAGATCAAAAGACATCTGGGGGGTCAAGTTCTCAGAATTCAGGTTTCCTTCCTAATTGGGTATGGTCTGGTTGGGGGTGCCTATGGTGCTTTAGGTCCAGTATACGGTGTTGCAGGCCTTCCACAGGTGAGATATTTGTCTTGTGCATGTATAGGATCATGTTAAGCAACTTCCATATCTTCATTTTACCTAGTTGGAATATCGGGGATATCCGCATGGCCATGAGCACCTTTGACACTTGTATAATCTATGGCTAAAAGTTCCTCTACAGGATTAAAACCGCAGCTCGGGATGCCTGTCTCTCTCTTTGTTTTCGGTTTTATGTGAAAATATACTATATTTCCTTCCTTTTTCAGGTGCCGATGGCTGCTTGATTGCCATTAAATTTTCCGTGTTGATTTTGCTCATCGAGCAGTCTAGTGAAAGAAAATCTGATATAAAAAACTTACAGCCCTTAATCTATGGAAAGGGAGCGACGACTATCGGCATGTCAATGGTGCCGATGCTTCTACCCGATGGTCAGATTGGATATGTTCTGTAAGTTCAGTAACTTTATTTTCTTTGCATGCAAAGCCTGATAGCTCCTTTTAACCCGTGACTACTAATGCAGGCAACCACCGGGAGCGCAACAACCTCAAAGCCCGCCTGTACATCAGAGACATAGTCGAGGTGGTGGGAGTTCAAGCAGCAGAGGAAAACACGGTGGCAGCGATAGCGGCCATATTGATTTGCTCGTATTAGAATGTATTATATCAGCTTGTAGTGCCCATAGATTGTTGAATCTGTACGACCTTGCTGATATTCATATTTTTATGTTTAGAGGTGATTTCCCTAGTTTTTTTTTTTTTGGATAAATGATTTCCCTAGTTTTGGTTTGACCAAATGTGTATTGTTATAAACCAACTTTAGTTTCATTCAATTTTCATATAACATCTCTTTATGTTTAAAGTATTATGTATAATATTAATATTAATATTTATCAAATATAAAATTAAGTGAATATATTTATTTTCCGCCTAATCGAGAGTGCCATACGCGCTTACGTAAACTAGGTGTCCCCTCCACCACGCGAAACTTATATTATGATAAAAAGAAAAGAAAAAATTATATAGATTTGCCGTTACTTAATGTAACCATTAAAAGAAGGGTAAATTATGTGTTTAGTATTTAAATTATTAGTTTTTATTTGTTTTAGTATCTAAACTTTCAAAAATTTTAAAATCATACTTAATTTTTTATTTTTGTTGCATTTTAATATCGCTCATGGCATTTTTATGGGGTAAATTGTAACATTCATCACTTAACTATCTTCTCACTCTTATTTTGGTCACTAAAGTTTAATTTTTTAACTTAACTTTCAAATTATTTCTAATTTAATCACTCTAACTTTCAAATTTATTTATTTTTATTTTTCATTATGTATTAATAAAATAGTAATAATAATGTCATATCACAAAAATTATTAATAAAATAAATAGGAGTGATTAAAATAGGAGTAATTTGAAAGTTGAGTAGTTAAAATGAAAATTTTTAAACTTTAGTATCAAAATAGGAGTGAGAAGATAATTTAGGGATGAATGATATAATTTACCCATAAAAATGCAGTCGTTAACGGCGAGAGGTAGTAAAATGAAATCAAAATTAAACATAAAATATGATTTTAAAAAGATAAAAAGTTTACCTAATAAAATGGATCAAAACTGAAAGTTTAAATATTTATTCTCTTGAAAATTATAAGGTTTATTGTCATTTGATTTTATCAAATTATAGTTTTAATTTTTAATTTGTTAAGGTTTATGGCTGCTCCTTAAGTAGAGTTGGTGATAGCTTTGTGGAAATTTGTATATGTGTTGTATATATATAGTTTTTTACTTGTAACGGTCTTTAGGGGCCATCACTCTTTTTACTCTAAATTAAGTATTATAGAGATTTTTTTAATGAAATCCTTATTGTGGTATAATCTGTATTTTTATTAATACATAGTACCATATTTTTTTAAAAAAATAAAGGAAATAAAGAATTTTTCCCATAAGAAATCATCTTCCGCTTGACTATGACTTTTCATAAAGAAAAATAGTAAAAAGGAATCATTTTTTTCCTATAAAGTTTCATATACGGACTGCAAGCATCAAGGAACTCATGGGGAAAAAAGCAGTGGCTCAACACAAACACCTTATCGCAACAAAACATCACCCTACTGCCATCTCAAGAAGCGGTGGCAGCCGTAAGTCCGGCCTTTGTGTCATCACAGCCAGTGACAGTTAAAACGAGTAAAGAAATGGCGGGCTTTACCGGTTCCGTTGGTTTTCGCCGGCCAAGAGTAGTCGAGAATCACCCCGAATAGGTTAACTTTCTGGTTTAAGGAAGAAACTGCCTCCTTTATGGTACGAGTCTTACAAGGAGCCATCACTCCCTGTCTATACCTGCAATTAGTCTGAATGCCGGAATTAGAGCTTAGTTATATTTGGAGGTAACTGAACCGACGCTTTTTGGTTCATTTTAGGACAAAGAAAATAAAAGAGATGAGTAATTAATTATTTTTACATAAATATCAATATTTTATTGAATAAAAATAAATTAAAACAAATGTGCATTTATTTAGCACAAGTACTTGTTTACAGAACAAACATAGTGTTGTATTTTACTCCTTTTTCCCATTATCATTGCCTTGCAGCTTTTACTATTTTCTTTGCCAGCTTTTCTAATAATAAAAAACGACAATCAAACAAGATCTTAGCAAAGACTCTTTGAGTAGTAAGTACCTTTAAAAACCTCATCAAATGCTACACAGCTTTAAATTTAAATATTTACAATTAAATTTCAAAAAATTATTTTAATGTTGAGTTTTCATTCAACTAGATTGAATCGTTTTCCTTTTTTTTCATTATTTTAATGTTGGGTTTTCGGCGTAAACTTGTTGATGTCATGCATATGCAAACATTGCTAGGGTAAATTCCACTTTATAATTGTCCGAAAGTATATTATTTATGGCTTAATACATAATTTCATTTATTTTTTATTAATTAATTTGGGACGAGTAAAAAAAAATCTCTCTTAATTTGATATTAAAAGTTTATATTTTTAATATTCTTTGAACCTAAAATCTCAAATAATAATTGAATTTAATTCGCTATAACATGATACCTTTTCATAGTTAAGCGGTAATAAAGGGCATTGCAAGGGAATTAGTTGATTTTTTTATAGTGCTCAATTGAGTACATATCAAGAAACAAATACCAAATTTAGGTACCATTTCTTAAATTCATGCACCAATTTGAACCAAAAAGATTATATTAAGTCACTTATTTATCATGGCTTTTAAACGGATTAATTGTACTAGACATCTCCAAACTCTACCTAAATTTTAAATTGGTCCTTAAATTTGAAAATATTGTTCAACGTGCTTCGACTATTAATATCGTTTCAATTAGATTCTTTCATCAATCTAGTAATCAAATTAAGCATTAAATATGGGTTCGAATCTAATGTGAAACATATTTAAAGCACATAGATCAAAATTAAACATATAGATAATTAGAATCAAGCATATAAATTATAAGATTGTGCTATTGAATAGGATTAGAGAGGTTTTTTAATGAGGTCCTTGAGGTGGCACTAAATGGCCTGTCACGACTAGACCTATTTTGAGTAACGAAATAAAACGTTAGACACCAAACTGAAATAAAAAAAAAACTTTAGGCACTAAATTGAAAAAATGGGCATAGGTTGGACACCTTTGTATATTTAAGCCTCATTTCAATTTCATCTCAAACTATAGGTATTTGCTAATCACTTCCACTATTAATAAAATCATCAAACCAAGCAATATTATTATACGTTAAAAAAATATGTTAAAGTATAGTTGAAACTAATTACATATTTGTAAGAATTTGAGGATGAAATTGGAAGATTCAAAAGTTGTGGACCAATTTTGAATTGGGATGAAATTGGAATGTTTAAAAGTTTAAATATTAATTTAGAATGAGAGTTATAATTTGAAGATGAAATTAAAATATTTAAAAGTTTAAGGACCAATATAAAAATAAGAGTTGTAATTATATGATGCAATTAACTCAATATTTTATATACATGATTAGATTAGTAAAATAAGCAGTTAAATTTGATTAAGAAAATTAGATTGAATCGGTAAAATAAGATTTTTTTAATTCGGCCCAAAAATCTAAGCCCACTCAACCTATTTATTCCTTCATTTTTCCACAAAATTTGTTCAATCCTGGCAGGCTCAAAGTCGTCAAGAAATTCTAGGGTTTTCCTAATCTAAGAAAGAAAGAATCAGGTTTGATTTGATCCGATTACTCATACTATCTCCTTTTCTTTTGTGAATCTGATATTGAAAGGTGTTTAATTTAATGTATATTTTTTAAGTTTTCTTTTATTATATCTGATGTCTGAATCCACTGATTTGGTTTTCGGAGAAAAATATTTCCTTGATCTGGGGTTTTTAATTGGGTTTATTGGAGTCAATCTTCGACGTTTGTGGCTTGAGAAAGTATATATTTACAACAAATGAATCACTTTTTAAAAAAAACAATCTACATTAATTATTTGGAATTGTTTTGGGTAGTTATGATAGAGCTGCTAATTTAAGCCATTTAATTTGTCTTAGCCAAGGATTCATAAAATGCAACCTCTTGAGTCTGAACTGGGTTTAGTGATACCCATTTTATTTTATTTTATATTGCTTGTTCTTAGGCAGAAGGGTGCTGATATGATGTTATTTTTGCGTGTATCGAAGGTGCCTTGTATGTTTATTCAAGTTCAAATTCATGCCTGCTTATGAGAAATCTTCCTTTGCGAGGCTTCTCCCAAAGCGAAAATGTTGTGATGGTTAACTTTAGTTCATTACTGAAAATCAGTTGTATTCTCTGCCCATCAAATTTAGATTTTATGTGAAGATCATTAGCTGTCCTTGTTTTAATCTAGCTTCCCCCCCCCCCCAAAAAAAAGGGGTTCCTATGTAGCTCAAGTTCGTTTTTCTTCAAATACTTGTGTTCAACAAACATGTCCTTTACATGGATATGGGGATATGAAGTTAGTGATTTCCATATATAATGCCCACATTCATGTCCGAGTAATGCATGAGGGGACTTCTGTTAAATCTTGTGTTTTGTTGATGCAAGCTGATGTCTGCTTGTTTTAGTAAGCTCAAAGTTATGGGTTATGGGGATAGGCTAGCTGATTTCTGCGGAGTGTGAATTTTCAACTGTGTTATTGATTAAAATAGATGAAGAGATATATGATGGAACTTGTGATGCTTGAATATGCTAATTTGAGAAAGAGGGAAAAGTTGGGGTTGAGGTGTTTGGGAGCTTTGAAAATTTTCTTCTTTAAGATGATTCATAACTGAATTCTTACATTGTGATGCAGCATGTCGGAGGCACCATTCAGACCTAGGGAGAAGCTTATCGAGTATCAGAAATATTTACAAAACATCCACAAGCACACATACCTGAAAGGACCTTACGATAAGATAACATCTGTCGCTATTCCTGCTGCTCTGGCTGCAAGTTCTCTGTTCTTAATCGTGAGCTCCTTTGTTTGTAAACATGGCTTCCATTTGCTCCAGAAATGATTCAGGAACCTTTTTGATTTTACCATTTCCGCGTGAAACTGTCGCTCATGTTTGTTTTTTTCAGGGACAAGGGATCTATAACATGTCTCATGGGATTGGAAAGAAGGAATGAGGCTGTCCACTCGTGCTTAGAAGACATGATTTACTTCGACTTTTGTGGTTTCTTTCTAGCATGACGTTATTTGTTTATTTGCTTTAATAATTGTTTGGTTTGCACACTTCTTTGCAGCCAATGGAAATTATAAAAGATACCGTGTGGAATTATGTTTGATTTTGATTCTTTTGAAAGGTAAATGATAAAAACTCAGGATTTAGCAATCTGTTTGATGATTTCTATTTTTCTTTGAGTTAAATCTTTGTTGAACATGAATGATCTTAATAGGACAGTGACTTGAAGTTTCTAAAGAAAGGCATCAGTGCTTTTAACTCGTGTTTCTAGCTGATGTTACTCACCCTAGAAAAAGAAAATGGTAAATTACACCTCGTTATTCTATCAATTTGGTTTTAATTTAAAGGTTTAAATGTACCATTGCTACTCATATCATTGGGGTGTATTTTCCCAAAATGTTGACTCCATTATTAAAAACTTCGGTCGTCCATCAAAACATAATGTCACCCCTTAATTTATATTTTCTTTATCTGAATAAATAAAAATTAATAAAATAAAATAATAATATACTAAAACTACGCAACATCATCCCTTCTCCTAACCTCAACATTTCTTTTTTCAATTTCTCTCCAACTTCGTTTACCATCTTCATCACTCCTTCCGACTCCAGTAATACCGGTTACTTTATTTATTTCTATGTTTTCTTTATTGAAATGGAAACACAGCATAAAACTTTAGCTAGAAACAAGCAGGTCCTTATGCAGCAGATCGAGCAACTCCACCGAAGCCTCATTGAACGTTTGAACGCCAATGGGGTACCCCTTCCCAACGTTGCCAATTTATCAGCAACATTGTTTTGCTCTTTACAAACACGTCTCATTCTTGTCATCCAATCACGATCCCGAAGTTCAAAGATTGCAGTTACAAAAGCATTTTCGTTCAAGGCATCAGACAAATTTTTATAGATTCGAGAAACTTGTAAGTTATCAACTCAAGTTCCACAAATCTGAAGTCAAGTTTCCATGCGTTCATTAAAAGATCATGAGCAACCCAAAGCTCGGCTACAAGAACTGAACACTTACCATGACTCCGTGTCAACCCGAAAAGTCAATCCTCATATTGATTGCGTAACACACCTTCGACAGCCACAACATTATCTCTAGGACTTACTGCTGCATCAGGGTGGGCCTTGATCCATCCTTGGTGAACGAATCCACAGTAAGGGAGTGTTAGCAATTATCTTAATTGAGGTTGCAATCAACTCATTAGCCATCAATACTTCATCGATAAAATGTTCACAACGTATAATAAATTTCTCCCTTTCCACATAATCATATGATCAAATATAATGCTACACCCATGCTTCCATGACTGGAAATAGAGGACAGCAAAACGAATCAACCAGTTTCCATCAGAATTAGTGGACCTACCTGAAAGGCAAATTTGGTCGGCAAATTTGGTCAAGTCAATCCTGGTATAAAAGCGATCGAAACTCATCAAGCTGCTCAGGTTGGATCGCCCTCGGCCAAATCATACCAGTCAACTTACGATGCTGAAGGATATGGTTCATGTATTCAGCCTCTCTATTGCAAATCTGACATCCAATCGTGAATTCCGCATGCAATTGGTACAATAAAGTAATATTCCCTCTTTTACCACACGTGACTTTTATGTGTGCCGGGAACCAAGTGAATGTCGCGTCTAAGCAACGGCAGCAAGCCCGCGTTTTATTTCAACCAAAACTCCGATGAGTGTCGATCAATGGTACACTAAAATATCAGACACAAATGCCTTATTAAATCTACACGTGTCCAATGTTCGGGACCGTAGATGAGTTGTCAGCCACACAATTTAAATCAATTCTAAACCCTAGAAAAATAATATTCGACTCCTCTTGTCAGACAGCCCTTCTCGTGTTTATCCTGATATCATTTTCATCAACTCCGTCCAATACAATGCTGCTTACACGTCATTTTCATGGTGGTGGAGCACTTGTGTCACCCAATGCCACTTTCATAGCATACATATATATATCTGCCTCCATCCACTTGCCTTGATTGCAGTCGTTTCTTTGAAGTTAAGAAAAGCTGGAACCTTTCAGAATGACAAATGTTCATCCCGGCGGCCATAGACATGGTGTGTAAGTAGGGAAGGAAGAGGAAGCTGTTCTAACAGTGTGGAAAAAATCATTGCTGTTCAACTGTAATGGCTTCACGGTGTTCGATGGTGAAGGCGATTTGGTATTCAGGGTGGATAATTACATGCAAGGCAACAAGGGATCCATTCTTTTCATGGATGCCAATGGCACACCTCTCCTCTCCATCCGCCGCAAGGTATCTCTTTATTCACTTCCATTTTCGCTTTAATTTAATTTATCTAAGTCGTTTCGGCATTTATTTATGATGGCAGAGAACGAGCCTGGCCTGGGTGACAACTGGCTGGTTTACGACGGAGAAGAAACCATGGTCATCCCTCGATTCTCGGTGAAGAAACCGGTCAACATATTGAACCCCAAGTGCTTGGCTTATGTCATCGGTAACGATCGGAGTAAGAAAACCGTGTCCGAGATCCATGGGTCTTATTCCCAAAGGCATTGCGCCGTGTTGGGTGACAACCGGAGGTTGGCGGCGGAGATAAGGCGGAAAGAGGGTGGTTGCCTTCGGAACCGACGTTTTCCGTCTTATTAAGCCTGATAATATAAGGACGGACTACTAAAAAAAAATTAGACTCAGTTTGGATTTTAATTTCATAAATTCAAATTTATTAAAAAAATCAAAATCAAATTAAGTTGTAAAATACAATTATAAAATATAATTTAAATTATAATTAAATAATTTTATAAATATTTATAATTAAATTTTAAATAGAAATTTAAAAATTTGACTCGATTTGATTTAACAAATTTTTAAATCAAATCTGAATTATAAAATAAATCTCGTTAACTCGAATAACTTAATTTTTTTTAATTAAACTCGACTTAACTCGATCAAACACTCACCCTTACTACTTGATCAAATGTTCTAGGCTTGCTTTCATTCTTTTTCTTAAACAAATCAGACACAATTTATATATCTATATGCTCAAACACTATTTGTACATCTATATGCGTGTTATGTTTAATGTATGTACATATATAATCATTCCATCACTTTCTAAACTGAACAATATCTTATTGGGTAAATTACATATTACTTTCTCTTATTTTTTTATTATATTTTAATATTTTAATTTATACATTAAACTTTCAAAGTATTCTTATTTTAATTATTTTAAATTATTTTATTATTACTTTTATACAATATGGTATTATTGTTATTATTTAATATAAAATAATTGAAAATATAAAATAAATATAAAAAGTGATCAGATGTCACTGTCGACTGTCATAGATGGTGGTCGTTCGGTCCTAAATTTCATGAGTCGCTTCGTCTTGACACCTTGAGTCCAAATCCAACTTTAATTTTGTTGAAACTTCCGAACTCTACGAATTAGAGATTGAAGGTGAGAAAGTCAAAACGTTTCAGTTGAGATTTACAAGTTTTAGGACATTTTTCGGTGAAACAAACAACAAATTCGAACTTAATATTTTTCTTTAAACATAATTTAATGATCTTTAATATACTTTACTCATATATATATTTTTTCATCCTCAACCAATAATGAGATTTTGATGTTATCCAAATGCTTGTTTTTCTTCTTCTTTTATTATACATATAGCAACAACAGATGATATTATCGGTTTAAACCTATTAATAACATTATATAAGTAAAAAGTATAGGATTCTATCTATCATATTAAAATAGATCCTCAAATAACCTACTAAGAACACCGGTTTAAGTTGATGGCATGCATTCAACGGCGTAATAATTTTCGATTTATGGTTGTTTTGTGATATAGATTGCAAATTGTCTTTATTTTGGGTTAAATATAAAAATATTAAATGAAGAGAGGAAGAATTCATTAAGATTTTGTCTGTGTTTATATAGTATGCACATGATCCACTAGTTTTGTTTTTGGTGCACCATGATCCACTAGTTTGAGTGGTTGAAAATTATGTTTCTTTATACAAATGCAAGTTGTATTTCGAAATTATGGAATTTTTAGTCCTTGATTGATATTAGGCAACTATGTGTACCATAATATGCACCCAAATTATTCATTCTTTATTTATTATAGGGTTCCAATCACACTTTTACTCATCAAACAAGGGGCTAACATTTACAAGAAGGTCGATAGAAAGAGTATTTTTTTATAACTATCGGTATTTGATCTATTGATCGATGAATTCGGATGCTTTCGGCCTTGATGTTCAATGCTGCATCTTATCGAAACATCATGTAGGATGCCCGTGTCACAAGAGAGGATTTCGCCACTTTGATGGTGCTAGTCTTGAGCGTTTTCACTATATTTTCTTCATCCATATGACCTAGAACAAGACCTATCTCCAAATCAACCACGACCACAACATAGAACCTATTGACGGGTTCCGGTCCCGTGTCGTACTTGGCAGTCGAAAGATCCCAAAAGACTTGGATCTTCAAATGACCGGATTCAAACACTCTATTACCTTTATTCTGTTAGTCGAGAGTAACAATCCGAGACTAAATTAGAACTTGAAAAAATAAAAGAAAGAATCATATTCTTTTAGAAAATAAAAGAGAATTACATGAAATAAAATACTCTGTATTTTGATTCTAAGATTAGAATTAGTTGAGGCATGTTGTAATACCATACTTTTGTCCTAAAATTAAAGAGGGAACAAAATGTAAGGACCAAACTTGCAATTGTTTCATTGTCTGAAATTAAAGAAGGATAAAAATGTAAGAACCAAACTTACAATTATACCATTTGTAATTTGGTGGGCTTTAAAAGCCGAAAAGAAAGCAAAGCCCCCTCTCCGTTTTGTAAGTTTTAAAGCAGCGAATAGAAATGAGGGACTCTAGTTCTCCTTCACGTTTTTTTTTCTTTTATTTTTAAAGCATCAATACGTAAATGAGGTAAGGGTGTTGGCCTTGGTCGTGGTTCGGCTTCGTTGGTGGGGAGTCGCGTTTACTCGTTTTAGTTTAGTATCCCGACCACCATGGATGATGGTGGGAGGGACGAACGATGCTCACATAGGGCATTAGGGTTTCGTTTGCGGGAGTGTTTTGGTTCTTTTTTTTAGTCGGTTCGGGCTTCAGTTTAATTCGGTGTTGGTTGGGTTG